CATTTTATTTAAATTTAAAATAATTTGTACTCTATTCAATAATTGGTCAGTCACAGCACTCTTTCTAAAATTAATTTTTTTGTTATCAATAATATTTGTGCATATTCTATTGTCCTTAATCGGGATGATTGCCTTGCCTCTTTGTCCTTTTTTATTCATTGTCGAGATATCAGTGGTACGAGTCTGTTTTTATCCAGGATCTCCAATCAAGGACACTGCACTTCCAAAAGGATCCTTATTTTTTCCAAGTCCATCCCTGTACTGTCCACTGTCACTAGCGCCAGATATCGAAAATCTTCTAGAACTGTGCCTGCAATAAAAATAAATTTAAATTAATTACACACAGTTAAGGATAACATGCACACTACACATTATAGAGACAATTAACTTCAACTTACGCAGATTTAGGGTCGTTTGAGGGTTTTAAGTTTTTCGCCCTTAGAGGGTGGTTTTTCCCGTTTAATGAACTCCTTTTACTACGACCACTGGTGACGCTTCTGTAACCAAAATTGTATATATATGTATACATCTTCTTTTCATAATAATAATAATAATAATAGTAATAGTAACAGTAATAAAATTATTAATTATGCTTACACTTTTCCTATTTGTCGCATATCCAATTCTTTAGTGACAGTTTTAGGGAGTTCTATCTAGTGGCAGAAATGCACATTTTAATTATTTATTCAAGTATTTAACGGATTGAGTATTAGGGGACATTTTAGGTAACTTTTTACTTACTGAAGACTGACGAGTACTTGGGGGTTGTTGGATGACATTTTCAAGGTCGCCCGCTGAAAATGCTGCCCTAGCAGGTATAAGTGGCGAACGACAGCAAACCCTTAAAACAATTAAAAACAAAATCTAAAAGTAACAACCGAAATATAATACAATCGCAATGGCACCATTATCTATTACCAAAAATTTTAACTGCGACACTCAATGTTAGGTGTATTATGGAAAACAACAGAAAAAAGCGGTTAGATTAAGGTAGGAAAAGGCAACACGAACGAAGTAATTGTTTGCCAACGCGATATGAGATTGTAACAGCAACATATACGTCTTTGAAACAAAATTAAATGGTGTGAGATGAAGCAGAAATTTTCTTTGATTGCGTTACTCACAAATTGACATCTTCCAATTTCTTAAGTAATCTTTCATTTTCTCTACAAACTAATTCGTGGTCCCTCAAGAGAAGCTCCTTGGACTGATAAAGCTCTGAATTTTCTTTTTTTAACGTTTCGTTCTCATTTACGTAATGACGAACCAACTCGGCCAGTTCAGGAGCTTCCAATTCCGAAATTCTCTCCAAATCTTCGGCTAATAACAGAAAAAGAATCTTGAAAAAGGACTTTGGAATTTCTAAAGTGGCAAATTAATTGAAAGACAGTCAGATACCTGACGTGGGGTTTGTTGACGATGTCGGGATTTGGTGGAAATTTAGAGCTGTTTTTAAATGATCATTTTCCGACTGTAGCGTTGTTATTTCCCTCTTCAAGTTCAATATTAAGGCCTCACGAGGATCCTAATTAAGATTAAAGACACAAGGTCTATTTTATTAATTGCATCTATTGGATAAACAATTATATTTTATAAATTAAAAGTAGAAACTTTCAGTGTTATTTTTGTTTTTCTTTGCTTTAATTTTTAGGATTTTAAAAGTTTTGAGCGAAACACTTAATCAATATATTACTTGAGGTGATTCCAAAGGGTATGTCAAAAAAAAAGATTTTTATAAATAATTAATATATTACTTTATTTTCTGTGCTTGTTTAAGACAAAAAAATACGGTAACTTACCATTAACACTGCGGGTTTTGTCTTTATTTTCTTGGCCCTTGAAGCATATCGTAATGTATTAACTGATTCCGATTGATTTGATTTTGCAGGGGAAATACAAGCAATCTTGCATGAATGGAAACAAAAAAAAACATTAATTCCTTCCGGAAACATTCAATTCCACTTGATGAATAATAAAATTGACAATCTACCCTAATACATCACCAACGTTCTTAAAATTAAATACATTCTTTAAAGGGTGAATTAAATATATATACTTGTTGCAAACAAAAAAGGGAAAAAACGTAACCCTTACTTTGATTATTATACTTGTCGCAAACCAAAGTGGAGAAAAACGTAACCCTTACTTTGATTATTATAAACAAAGAAGGATATTGTCACCGCTAATTTTTGACCAATTGCTTGAAAATACGGTTAATTCTAATCCTTATCCTAATTAATATTATAAATACAAAGTGAGTTTGCTTGTATGTTTATTACTATTTCATTAATGGAATCGAATATTTAGTAAGGATCTGGGATGCTATAGTTTTCGGGAAATATAAGGTTTCTTACCATTAAAGTAACACCATTACCTGCCAAAGAATCGGCAAGTAGTTTTGTGAGATTGGAGTCCCTGTAAGGGATATGAGTACCGATCCTTTTGGGATCACTCAATGATGATATGCAGTAACCTTTAGAACATATTAAATAAGAAATATTAAATGTCGTCATCAAATAGATACAGAAAATTTAATAAGTTTAAAAATTCTGAGGTTTTGGATCACTTTTGTCAGAAAGAAATATTTTTTTTAACTGTATGATATGTATTATTAACAAAGGTATCATAATAATTATGATTTTAATGACGTTAATATTCTACGTTACATAAGTTTACCAGAAATTAAAAATTAAAAACGGAAAGCAGTAACAACTTATTTTTCCATTTGTTATTTAATAAAAAAGAAAAAATGCGTACTTAGTATTGTTATGGTGTTTCGCCACAAAAAAATTACCTCTTGCCGTAACTACTAGAAAGTAAATTTTATTTCTAAAGAACATAAAGACGGTAATAAAAATTTCTTATCATTTCGGATGTATTGTAAAAAGCCAACGTAAATCAGAGTTGAAAAGAAAAATTCAATTACTTAGTTGTAAAAAATCGAATGACATAGCGTGTTTGCAAGAGTTTGTACATTGTGTTCTACAATTGAAGAACAATTATTCTACGAATGGTGAGTTTATAAACAATTAATATTTTAAATATATTTATCTAGTACTTATGCAAAATTATTAATTAAAATATAATTATTGTACCACAAGAACAATAGATTTTTTTGAAGATAGAAGCTGAAGTTGTAATTGTAAAATTTCGTAACCAAAACAATTTTTTTATTGTAATGAAAAAAATTACATGTTTTTTAATTGTTTTTCTTACCGTTTATAGTCCAAAACCTTCGTCGTACACTAGACCAAATGAAAAGAGAAAAATTTTGAAAAACAAATTTGTAATTTCAGAAATTACCCTGAACAAACAAACTAATAAACTTTTATGGTATTAGTGACGATTTATAACAATTAATATCTATATAAAAATTAAAACTTACCTTATCGGAAAATGGAGTAATTGCAGTAGATAATTATTATTATTATTATTATAAAAGCTTTTTTT